CCCTGGCCCCCCCAGGGCCGCCCCCCCAGACTGCCACTGCAGAGGACCAACCTGCTTGGCCCGGCCGGCCTGGCACCGTTTTTTAGACCCCCCCACCCACCCCTGGGAAGCAGCCAGCCCCACTCCCTCCAGGGCCCTGGGCCCCCAGACCCAGGCAAAGAGTACAGCCCTCTGACCCCTGCGGGCCCCCAGGGGCAGGACTGAGCCTGCACCGGGAAGAAGCAGGGTGGGGAATCTATTTTTTCTCTCCTTTTCTTTTCTTCAATAAAAAGATTAAAAACCCACATCTTCTCTGTGCCTTGCTTCCTGTGGCACGCACTCCCTGACCCTGGCTGTGCGGCTGCTTCGCTGACCCACAGGTGTCCCTGGCAAGGAGAGCCAGGCACTGGTGGGCCCTGCAGCTGCTGCCCTGCCCTGGGCCTGGCCATCCAGCCTGGACTCCTAGGCCAGGGACACAGCCCCCCGCCCCCTCAGCATGCGGGCTCTGTGCTGCTCTTGGGCTCTCAGGGACGGTTTAACTTCCCTGATTTTCCCTGGGTCACCTTCAGGAGGGGTGTCCTACAAAGGGTCCTTTAAAACCGTCTGAAACAGTGACTGACCAGCTCAGTGGTGCTTGGCGACGCACTGCGCTGGTGCAGGCTCCAGCGGGAGGTGCAGGCCAGGTGCCCCGGCTGACCTGCATGCTGCATGCCGCATGCTGGGCACACACCCACAATGCCAGCTGGGAATGGGGGTAGGTTTGCAGCGTAGGACCATGGAGGGGCTCGCTCTCATGAGAGAAAGAAACCTTGAGAGAGGAAAACAAAGCGGCACGGGGCCGGAGATACGGAGGCAGGCAAGGAGCCACAGGCCTCAGAGCTCCGACTGTCCCGACCCCAGCGGATCTGTGGTCTCACAGAGCCCTGCCGTCCCGCACCCTCTCCTGGTTCTGGCGCTGGCTGGACACTCAGGCCACAGTCCTAGGCCCCATCATCCACTGCTGGGGGCTTCCTGTCCCCAGGCCTTCACCTCCTCCCCCCAGGGGTAGGTGTGGGGCAGACACGAACATACGCACCTGCCCCCACCCACCCTCTGCCCTCACCCCTGCCCCTGTTTCTGAGGAGCTTTGGGACACACATCCTGCCTCTCTGTGTCCCCAGCAGGGTGCGCCTGAGGCCCGCAGGGAGCCTGACTGGGGCCCAAAGGTTTGAGAGAAAATTCCCAGGCTGGGAGTGCTGAGAGGCAGGGGACATTAGCCAAGCTCTCTCCCAGACTTGGGGACCCCTACCTTGGGGAGCCCCGGACCAAACAGTACAGAACTGGGCCTCCACAGGCCATGGTAGACCCTGCCAGCCCCCTCCTCAAACCCACCAACCCCAACCCTCCAACCCCTCTTGGAACTGGGTCCAAGAGGCAGCAGAGACCCGGGGAAAGGGGTGTGCAGGGCAGGCTACCTGGGGCCCACCTGCACCTGGGATCACGGCCCCACCCTGTCATCCAAAATGGAGCCAGCGCAAGGGGAGCTGAAAGGGAATACAGCCCAGCGTGGGGTTCCCCGCACCCACCTGCTCGGGCTTGGGCCTGGGCCCTGCACATCTTCCTGTGTGTGGACATCCATGGCCCCTAGTCCTCGCTGTAGGTGGGGATGGAGCAGGAAGGTGTGCAGTGGGTAGGCAGTGGTGGGCAGGGAGGAGGTGGCTAGGGAGGGGCAGCCTCCCCACAAAGCCAAAGCCCCCAGTGGGGCAGCTCGGGAAGCAGCACTGGCCGGAGCACAGGCCTTTGCCATGGGTCGGAACCCAGAGAAGCCAGAGGGCTCGGGTGAGATTCAGCCATGAAACCTGCCCCAGACCACAGCGTGCCTGGCGCATCTGTCCGTGTGCGTGTGCGTGTTTGCTGTAGACACGCACGCATCCCTCCTCGGGAGCAGAATGTGCTCTCTTCCCAAGCCCAGACCGATCTTGAATCCTAGACTTGCCTGGCCTAGGGTTCAGACTAGGGGCTTCAGAGGGCCTGTGGTCCCTTCCTTGTCCTTGGCTGTTCCAGAAGCAGGTGACCAAAAGTAGAGAGAGACCTGAGCCCCCAGCCCCATGTGGGATGGGCAGGCAGAGCACAGGGCCAGGGACTGGAGTGACGGGCTTCCCTCGGCTCACCACTGTCCTTGTGGTGCTTGCCCAGAGCAGGCTCCTGGCAGCTCCCAACCCCTGGGCCACCTCAGCAGGAGAAACTGGGACAGAACAGAATAAAAGGACCCAAACCACACACTCCCTGCCTGTAAGGGGGCAGCTCAGAAGGCTATGACCGGGGTCAAGGCTCAGAGTGTGACCAGGGTGTGGGCTCCATGTCATCCTATCCGTTCCCTGGCCCCAGTGTCCACAGCTGTTCATCACTCCAGGACCTCTGCAAGTAGTGACTCACCCCAGAAATTGCTGACTGCCTTGTCTCCCAGCTAGTAAGCAGGCTAGGACTGGTCCCCAAGGACTGGCCTGAACCCTTGGGCCCTGCTCTGTCATCTCCATAACCTCTGTGTGCTGTGTGCTGTGTGCTGTGTGCTGTGTGCTGTGCCCTGTGCTGGGCAGGGGTTTGACACTCAGGAGTTAAGATGGGGACTACCTGGACCTCCGCCAGTTCTGTCTGGACTTTGTCCAGCTGTTTGGAGTGATGCACTCTCGAACTGGTCAAGGCAGGGGATCGTAACCTCATCTAGGTGGACACGTGGTGCTGCTAATGTCCCACAGGTATGGAGAGAGGGGCTGTCCCTGATTCCAGGTCCAGCCTCTAATTCCTGGATCCTCCCCCAATGGCTAGCGTACCTAATGACCACAGTGGCCTCTCCATCTGCCGTCTCTCCACTGCAAGCACTCCTCTCCTGTGAGAGAGAGAGCCGGTTCACCAGCAAGAGCTGTCCTCAGCAACCTGGCACTGGTGATGGTGAGGACACTTCCCCTACCACTGTCTACCAGTCATCACCAGCTTCATGCTATCTGAGGGAGAGGTGTGAGGCTGTGGATGGTGATGGGACCAGCTATGATGGGTAGGAACACTGTGTGGGCCAAAAGTGGTGGTTACGATTTGGGTATAGAGTTGAAGCTAGTTAGATGTTAGTGGTAGTGCTGGAGGTGGTGGTGACAGTGACAGTGATAGTGATGGTGGTGATTATGGTGATGATAATGGTGATCATGGTGGTGATGATAGTGATGATGCTGGTGGGATGATAATAATGGCGATTATGGTGGTGATGGTGGTGGTGGGATGATAATGATGATTATGATGGTGGTGGTGATGATGATGGTGGTGATGGTGGTAGTGGTGGTGGGATGATGATAATGGCAATTATGGTTGGATGGTGGTGGTGAGATGGTGATTATAGTGGTGATGATGGTGATGATGATGGTGGTGATGGTGGTGGTGGGATGATGATGATAGCAGTGATGTGGTGTTGGTGGGATGGTGATAATGACGGTGGTGATGGTGGTGGTAGGATGATGTTGATTATAGCAGTGATGGTGGTGGTGGAGGGATGGTGATGATAATGGTGATTACAGTGGTGATGGTAGTGGCGATGGTGGTGGTGGGATGATAATGGTGATTATAGTGGTGGTGGTGGTGGGATGATGATCATTGTGATTATGGTGGTGATGGTAACAATGATGGTGATGGCAGGATGATAGTGGTGATGATGGAGGTGATAGTGATGAGGATGGTGATGATGGAGGCAGTTATGGCTGTGATAGTGGTGATGATGGTGATTATGGTGGTGGTGATTATAATAATGATGACAGTGATGATGATGGTAGGATGATAGTGGTGATGGTGCTGATGGCAGTAATGAAGATAGTGATGATGGTGGTGGTGGAGATAGAGAGTGATTTTGGTGTTGTTGATGCCCAAAACAGAAGTTACCAGGATTTCCGTTAGTGACAATGCCTGTGAAAATGAAGATCTCATTTCTCACAATGTTCTCCACTCATAAAAACTGAAGTATCTCAAGGATGGTTGGATAGATGGAAGAAAGGATGCATCGGGACAATGACTAGAGTCTCTAAGTAACTGGGAGATGGGGCAGGGAGGAAGCCACCCAGGTGCTATGCATCTCACCAACACCCATATTCTGAGATCCAGAGGAAGTTTCTCATCAGACTTTCATCCACTCATTTTCCTTCCTGTTACCAACACAAACACCCAGAAGAGGTGGGAGGTCTAAGAAAGTCCTCTGCCCCAGTAATTTAGCCTCTAGGCAAGCTAGTGTTTGCCCTGGTAAAGCTTCTGTAGCCACCCCTTTCCCACTTCCCAGCCCAATTCAGCAGTAAACATACTTTCTGTCAGGAAATCCTTCTCTGAGCCTAGCCTGCATTCTCGTGCTGCAGAGGGCCCTGTTCCCTCCACACACTCTGTTCCTCAGCTCTTACTTTTCTCTTCCCTCCCTCCTGATGGCTCTTCTGTTGCCATCAGGGCTGCTCCAACATTCAGTTGCCCCCCCCCCATATCCCTTGACTCATTCATGATGAAGGCAGACCCTGCAGGCCTGGCTGCCACCTCCCAGGCAGGGCTTTCATGGTGCTTGTCTCTGGAGTGGAGCAAATGCATGGGATGCCTCCTACTCCAGGACTTGTTCCAGAACCTTCCGTCAGGCTGGAGTGTCCTTCCCAGCTCTGTCTCCCCACCCCCAGCTATGATGAGCTCCCAAAACAGGGTATGGGGCCTGGAAACATGGCTCTCTGAGTGTCCTGAGTTGACAGGGCAAGTGCAATTCACCCCGACCCAGAAACCACTGTCTGCCACTTGGCCCGAGGTGCCCCACCTTTGAAGGTGACCCAAGTCAGGACAAACAGGCAGCTCTCCTCTGACAGATGTGAAGTCTCACAGGACCTGGTGGC